ATAATGCAGATTACTCTTTCACATTTAAAAAACAAAACAATAATAATCATATATAATTCTGTAAATTTTTATGCCTGACAGATCTGCAGCAACCTAGAACATAAGGAAAGAGGGTTGGTTGCAGACCATATGGCGCACCGAATGTCAACTTCAGAAATGTATTATAAGGCGAGCCAATCTGGCTCTGCTGCTGTTAAGGCACATCAACTTATTATGTCTAGCAGAGAAATAGTAGCCAACAAGGTAATATCATTCAATATCAAACAAAAGTGAAGTCCATGTCAACAAACATTGCTCTATGTTCACAGGGAAAGAAATTGAAAAGTTGAAAAGGTAGTAGTGTTTGGAAACAAATGCCATACAGTAGTTCAATTTTAATGTTACAATAATTCAAATTTTATAATTAAAAAAATGATAAATTAAAATACATAAAAAATATAAGAAGACATATATGTATGTTGATACTCCTTTAACAAAATAATATTTTTCTTAAAACAAAGCTAAAGTTGGTATTGACAACATAGGCTATTTTTCACAATGCCTCAGGGGCGGATACACCAATTTTCAAAAGGGGATGGGGGAGAGGGTGCCACTATTCAGAATAGAAACGCGAGTAGTGCTAATTTCAATACCGTATGCATTGAAAAGGGGGAAGGGGTGTGCCACGTGCTCCCCATGCCTCCTACTGGACCCCTGTCTGGCGGAATGTCTTATTGAGAGGCAGGAAATCTTGTTGTACATAACCAAATACTGTACCACCTGATTATAAGTTGATGGGAAAGTTACAGGTCGCTACAAATAATTACTATTTTCAATATATTATTCCTTTCTTATTTCCAGGATGTCCATTCTGAGGCAGAAGAGGTAAGATTTAGGTTTACACTAGATTCATTAAAAAATGATCAAAATGTAAAAAATTAATTCAGTTTTAAATTACAACATACAACATCCCTTTGCGATACACTAATCAAAGTATACGCTGAAAATTTAACATATTTAATTTTTTGATTTTCGATTAAGTACTATACTTTTAATATGCCTTTCCCATTTGTTTGGAACACGCAAGCTATGCTTAGGCTGATATTTTAAATTTTAAAGTATATTCCTCTGAACAATTATTTTAGTGTTTTCAATATATTTCCCCTTCATATTTTCAGAATAACCAATCTGAGATAAATGAAGAAATAGAGGTAAGATCTACACCAGAGTAAAAATCATAAGAATGTCAAAAAATAACATGTTGTATCAATTTTGAATGCAACATGCAAGCTAACTGTATGATTCCGCTGAATTTTTAAATTTTAGAATATATTCCTTTAAATAACAATTATTTGATTATTTTGAATATACTGTATTTTCCCCTTCATATTTTCAGAATAACCAGTCTGAAATTAATGAGATCTCCATCAGATAAAAATGAAAATAATTAACATAATTTAGTTTTAAACATTAATCATATTACAAGATGCCGGCAGTGGCAAAAAACAAATTTTTGTAAAATGTGCAAGTCAATGTAATTAACTTTGCATTTTATAATTATTCTAAAATTTACAAGGACCAAGTTTTTATTTCAATTATAACTCTTTAACAGATTTGAAATTGGGATATTTAAACATTTTATTTTCTGAAATTTCACGACTAAAATGTTATGTTAAACTCTCTATAATTCGATTTTACCTACATTTTAAGATGTTCAAATCATGTTTTTAATTAAATCAATCAATGTGTAACATTATATATAATTTTAATTTATTAAGAATAATTGCATTAATGATTTAATATATCTGATACATGTTCTACTGAATTTGTTGTGCTTTGTCAATTCTCTAGGACAGTTTAAGTTTTAAACAGAGCCTAATTAAAGCTACTACTATATGTAAATAATTATTCTTATTTCAAATATACCCATTTCTCTTCCTAATAGGATACATGCAACAAGGCTAACCAAGCAGAACAGGTATAATGAGTCACTATTCCTAATTTGAAATACAGTAATCAACGAAAGCACACTATACAAAATCTTATTTCTCTGAATTTAAAAGTACTTTTATTAAAAATACTAACATTCTGTAGATTAATTACAGTAATAAATTCGCAACGTGTTACGCCCGATCAGGACATAAGACAAATATGATTTTTTTTAAAGAAAAAAAAAATTGTATGTCGCAAGTATAATATGACACCCTTTTTGTCAATTGTAATTTCTACCCTAAGTCTGGTCTTGTATGAGAGTATACGGTTAGCTGTCCCTTTTAGCTGGTAATAATCATGCTATTATTTTTCTTTCATTCAGACCATAATCTGCAACCATAATATGCTTCAACTTTGTTTATACTGCAGTAAGGCCATATTGGAAACAATTAGTTCAGCTAGTATTATGGTATTTCTATTCCTAAATAGGCCTATATAAAAAAATGGCCTACTTTAATTATTACTTTTACTTCCTTCTTCCCCTTTTCATGATTTTCAGACTACCAGTATCTTAAGACACTTTCATACAGAGCTATGTTACAATTATTGCTTTATGAATAGGTAAGGGCTAACTGCAGCCGCAATATTGGGGTTACACGCCCGCGTTCATCATTACAGTATTAAATTTGCAACGTGTTACATACGATCCGGTAATAAGACAAATATGGTTTTTTAAAAAAGAAAATTCTGTATGTCGCAAGTATAAGATGACCCCCTGTTTTTCAATCTCAATTTGCTATCTTAAGTCTAGTCTTACATGCGAGTATCCCGCTTCCCCTTTTAGCTGGTAAAAACAATCATGCTATTTTTTTTTCATTCAGACTGTAATCTGCAACCATAATAATGCATATTATGCTTCAGCAATGTTTATGCTGCAGTAAGGCCTTGGAAACATTTAGTTCTATTCCTAAATAGGCCTATATAAAAAATGGACTACTTTAATTTATACTTTTAATTTCTTCTTCCCTTTTTCATGATTTTCAGACTACCAGACCTGAAGTACCAGAAACGGTGGTAAGAATTGCTTTCCTACATCTTAAGACACTTTCAGACAGAGCTATGTTACTGTAATATTCAGTAGTAATATTAATGCATCCAATAAAGCAAATTAACGTCAAGCAAATTACTATGAAGTCTAGCCTTAACATACATTTAGCACAATTTTATCAAAACAACAATACTATAGGATACCCTCATTCTGTGGGAACCAATTGCTCATTCAGTTCATACAGAAAGGCCTTTATTCTACGGCAATATTAGGTTGGTATGAATGGTTTATGTGGTAAGAACGGCATTATTACCGCAATATTGCCAGAACTTCTGTCTGAAAACGGTTTAAGAGCTATAGTATGAGAAGAAAAAATACATAATAATAATAATAATAATAATAATAATAATAATAATAATATAACAATAAAAATAATAGGCCTATTATAATATATGTAATATTTTTTTAGCTACTTTTGGGAACTTGGGTGCACTTGTTTTTTTTTATTGCTCACCATTCCTCATGCTGCTACAGTCCCTCATTTTTTAAAAACAAGGGCTATTATAGTTGGTACTGAAAAAAATACGGTAATATTCATAGGAAGACTTGTAGGTCTGTCAAAGAGAAAAGGATGGGGTTGACATTGAACAAAATTGGAAGTATATGAATTCAGCCCGCAGCTGGTCTCTACAGAGTGAAACTGACCACCAGCTTAAAAAGGCTGAACACTCGGACAGTGGCACATTGAAAGACCTGTATAACACCTCCAATACAGGCACCTCCAAAAACACTTCTCAACACTGTTAACATGGCTTTATCCTACTTGCCTCATTTTGTCCCCTCTCTATTTTGTAACAAGCCAATTCGGGCTTAATGAGGGTTCCTTTTTCGTCTAGCATTTATTCTTGTCTGTTAATCTTTTCTATCTGAATTTGTTTTTGACGAAATAAAAAATTGTTTTATTTTTAACATGCCGGGGTGTTTAAAAATAATAAATAAATAAAATAATAAAATAAATATGGGAAGTCAGTACAACTACAAGATTAAAATGTTAACAATTTTTTCACACATTTTCTGTCAAGACAATTTTTTAAACAAATTTAAGTTTCAGGCTTTGTACAACAAGATGAGGAGAATATATCCCAAGGTAATGTGTTTTGTTGCTGTATAGCCAGTGGCTATAATTTAATACAATCGGTGATGACGGTAAAAATATATATATATTTAAAAAGCAATACTGTATTCACATATTATTAGTTTCTTGTTCCTTGCCTACTGCATTAATCTATCTATTGGCAGATAAACAGTAACTTTTTAGATTTATAGTACGGCATGTACAGAATGTTAGTCCTACTACACTGAAAATACATAACTGTCAATTATCAATGGTTGTACTTTGCTTTTCTATCTGGATTTGTATAGTGAATATTACTGGCTGTGGGGTTTGAGGTTTACTATGTAAATTATATAACAGAATAATGTAATTTTTATTGACTTTGAGATTCTTAATTGATTACTTTAGTCACTCAACCCTTATTGCATTGCCAAAGCCTGTGTAGATTGTTTCATAGCCGAAGTTTAGCTTGCTTCTCTCTGTAAAGTACGTTCTTGTAAGCAGCTTTGAAATGTTTATCTATTCGAAGACACTTTCTGTAAGCAGCATTAATGTTTATACTTTCTACTTTGTGACAATGCAAGTCTACATGCACAATATAATTTGACCATTGAGGTTGTTGACACCTCCAAGTTTGTGTGAAAACACAGTCAGGTCTCTTTACATTTTTAAATGGAAAAATACACTCAAATTTCCATCTAGAAGTGTCACTGGTGCATCACTATAAAATCAGCCATTTTGGCTGTATTGGGTTATCTTGATAATATGAAATTAAATTCATAACATATAACATTTCATAATAAATTTTCAAGCATTAGAACTTCTCAACACAATGCGACCATCCTAGAAACCTAAGTTCAGAGCATATTGTATGGTTATTTATTGTTGTTGATTAATATTGATAAATTGAAGTTGTTCTTGATAATACTGTCGTAGGAAAAATAACCATGCTAATTAGGTGAGACTTTTTTTAATTAAAAAAAAGAAAATAAATAAATAAATAAATTTTTTAAAAAACCACTACCATTATC